AGAATCCGAGAGTAAAAGGGATATAAACATTCTAGTCAGAGAATAATAAAAATGTATCTCTGTGTATATGTAATTATGTATACAGGGAGAACGTTCCACTTGTAGCGTTGAGAGAGGGAGGTTTTTTTTTTTCCAACATAGTGGAGATATTTGCAGTTTGCTGGACAGTGGGAAGAGGTTGATGGGTGATAAGTGATATATATTAAATAAGGGGAAAAATTCACAAGTAGTCATTAAGTATATGACAATTCAGTTTTTGGACTTTTTATGTTTCAAAATTTAAAACTCAGGTATTAATTAAAAATATTTTATTAATAAAACATGTTGAGGTCACATTATACAATTAATGATTACACGTGCATATTTATAAGTCACAACTTATTTATTGATCACATATTATCAAATGAATTGATCCTGAATTATTCTATGGTCACAATTAAAAAATTTTGATGGTCACAAATCAAAAAATTTACACGTCACAATTTATTTGTCAATCACAGATTTTGAAATTAGTTGATCACAAATTATTGAATTTTTGGCTCACAATTAAATAGTTGGTCACAAATAACCAAATAGTTGATCACATGTCACCACTGCGATCACTTCCGACCAACACAACCTAATAGAGCCATCATCACCATCCCAATCTCACCGCTAACAACTTAGGCACAGACACAAACACAACCCCAACAACCAACCACCATCAGCCACCCAAACACCACTAAAAAATCAAATCCAAATTTATTAATCACCGCTACGACCACCGCCAACATCACACCACCTGTGTCTCCTCCCTTTCCTCCTCCACCAAAACTCATATCCAGAACCATAGCCTAAACTAGATCTAAAATCAGAACCGCAACCAACATCACCGCCAACATTACCACCACCAACTACAAGCATTGTCAACAAAATCACTGCACAACCTGATCCAAAATCAGAGTCATCGTGCGTAGAGCCACCACATCCTCTTATGACCACAACCACTAGTTTCACCAAACAATCCCCAAATTGCCACCACCACTGCACGCTACCACCGCCTATATCAACAATCATCACCACCTCCTCAAATCTACCATCTCCTTTACCTCTCTATCAGAGAACTAGAGAAACAGATGGGCGCCATGCAAGAAGAAGCACCGATGGGCGTCTGCGTCGCTGCACACGAGTGAGGTGCTTATGCGACGCTCACGGGTGCTGGTGCTGCACCATCGCTTTGTGCGCCCGATCGCTAGTGTTGCGCCGATCACCTCGCACACTAGCATGGAGAAGAGTCGCCGGAGGGTTGGGGTGAGTAAAGGTGGAAAATGAAGTTAAAATTGTTTTTCAAAAGATGAATTAGGGTTTTTTGGGGGGTGTCGGGTAGATTAATTTAGTTTTATAATATTAAAAAGTTTAAATTATTAAAAAAACTTAAAATTTGATTTTTGAATTGAAAATTAAGCCCCTATTTGGTATACATTAAAATTTTGATTTTCATTCTTCTATTCATTTTCAACTACACATTCTTCAATAAAATAATATTTTCCATCACATCAGTAACTTTTCCTTCATTTTCAACCATACATTCTCTATC